ACACAACACAGGAAAATGCCAGAGTGTGAAACCGATGTTGAAGAAGACATCATCCAGCTATAAAAAAAAGAGGGGAAAGAAAAAGAGGATTTCAGTGTTTGAGTTTGTCTGCCTCGCTGCCCCCTTTCAGCCTCCCATTGAAATTCTGGGCAGATACAAACCCCTAGGCTTTTGACACACTTTTGAAAACACCACACCCCCTCTTTCTTTCCAGTGGGTCTCCAGTGTCGAGCTGACTCACTATTGAGAGAGAGAGAGCAAGATGGAGAGGAGGAGGGTGAGAAGGAGGGGATAAATTACAGGAGGTGTAGATCTGTTTTGTGTTAACAACTTCCATTAACATGTCTATAGCTGAGCAAAATTATTGATCATCTGGAAATATTGAAAATGAATGGAGAATTCTACCCCAGATGAATACAAAGTATTTTATTCAATGACTAAAGTTGTCTGTGAAATTGAAAAATATGACTGCAGGAGAAGTCAAGGGAAATAAAGCTAAGAAGTGATGTAAAGTAAAGGAAATATTTTTGAAAAAAGAAAATTTTGCCTTCTTGAAGCTCCGCTACGTTGTTTCATGGTGAGATAAGTGCTACAGCAGAGCTAACACTGATCCATGTGTTTTCTTTCAATCTGGACACAAACTTACAAGCTGAACTCCAGCAGCTACTCGAACTAATGATTCCACCTTTCAATATTCCTTCCTTGCTCAGTTATTCTGGCTATAACCTCGCCATCTACACTCTCTCCCTCCCTTGGCACCCCACCCTCCACTGCCACCATCTCAGTCTTTGGATGCAGAGCAGTGACAGGGCCAGAAGGTAATGATACAGCTGCCATGATGCAACAAGCAGACCTTTCGACTGTCAGGAATTGAAATCATGAAGGAATAAGCTGTCATTAAGAGGCCCTCTCCCAGTAGTGGAGCTGTCAGACGCCTGTCTTCTGCCTACTCTCTCTCTCTCCCTCTCTATTCTGCCACCTCTCCTCCACCAGTCCCACCCCATTTACAGTCACTCCCACGTCCTCCTCTCATTTCTCTCTGCTTCAATCCTCTCTATGCCCCTTTTCTCTTCTGTCCTCTTCCAACCAATCATAACCCTTCCCCTCTTTGCACTCTCCACAACTTCCCATTTCAGTTTCCTCTTTTCCACCTCTTTTCCCCACTATCTCGTTGTTGCCGGAGCAACCTCCTCTCACCTGTCATTTTACCTCTAGGCTATAGGAATAGCACTACTTCCATGCCCGCGCACACACATGTACATAAAGTCAGCATACATGAGACCAGCACACTGCACAAAGATTTCCCTTAACCCGCTGTTACTGTACACACTGCAGCAAATGCCACAAGTGTATTCTCTGCCTGATGTGATGCATTTGTATCTATGTCGGTGTGTCTGTCTGTATGTTTTCCTCTGTATGTACATCTATGTGTACATATTATAGGCTTATCTTTAATATATACATTTGACCAGCTTATTAATGTGTCATCATCATATAATAGCATAGTGGACATGGAAAGCTAAGCCAGGTGATGGGGTGAAAAAGGAGTAAGTGACAGGCTGCCCCATGACTCACTCTAGAATATGTTTGTGTGTGTGTTTGTGTGACGGGCCTGATTAACTAGTGCAATCAGCTATTTTTCCCACAATCCCCTGATTGGTAGCGGTGATCCCATCGGAAGACAGGAAAGGCTGACTCGAGCTTCCAAGGATCATGGCTAAGAACTGCAGAGTCGTGCTTTAACACAGGTGCAAGCCCACAGACATGCACTGTATGCACACACACCACAGTTGTCCTACATCAAATTAAACACTGTGCCTCCGTGTGTGTGTTTGCATGTGTGTTCATGTGCTTTGCAAAGCCACAAGCTCCCCCCATATTCCCCCAATTGCACTCCAGCTGACCCTCTGCTGCAGGCATTGAATTTCCAATCAAATTCCCATGAGTAACCTTATGTGAGCTGGACTTGAGGCAAAGCATTCTTTCCACAAAACATTTTTGGAAAATGCAGCCTAATAACAACAGTAACACATATACTTAAAATATCAACATTTGACCTGACATGGCACTGTGTAACTGTCATGGCACCAGAGTTGCTACACAGCTTCAGACTATTATAATGACCTACTTACAAATAAGTTTGCAAACTAAACTTTTTAGGGTTTTGATTTTCACATAGTTTCACACTGCTGTGAATCACTACTCTATTCCCAGTTACTTTTTAATAAGGTTAACAGTATAGTTAACAGTATAACGTGCTGGTAGTAAGCTAGTCACTCGGCTAAACCAGTTAGACATACAGTGTGCCTCTATGCATGTTTGCCTTTGTGCTGTATTACAGATGGAAGGCAGCATCATTAAAAAGTATGAAAGGATTTATCTGTCAAAATGATGAATTAGTAGCTTTTCCCAGTATATGAGTTAACCAAATGAGATGTTTGAGGGTAAATGAATGGAGTACAATGTGTAACTGCATCCCAAGAAAGTGTAAAACTATCTTTATAGCTACTTCATGTAAAATATCTATAATATAATCTAAATAACTGTCTATGTAGAAATATAGATGTTAGTATATATTACTGAATAAATGTACTGTAGGCTTACTATTTCAGTTTTCATTGTTCAGAGGAAAAGAACCTTTAAAATCAGCTAATAATATGTTAGATTCAGACAAAAAAACCTATGTCTTACTTCAGATAGTAACTGTAACTCATGTACAAGCATTTCAAAAGACATCACCACAATTTTTATGGTATGACATAATAAACCACTAACATGCTCATAATAGATGCAGACAGAATGAACTGTAAATGTGTGAGCCTGTCTTTTCAGTGCACACACAGAATAGAAGCCCTGTGTGAGGTAAATGCCTGGATGATGATTTGTCAGGGTGCAAGAACATGATTTCTTGTTTACTATGATGAATGAGCAACACTTACACTACAAACACCATGTCCTCTATATCTAAGCTGTCACTTTGACTCTGCAACACAACTCTGCCTTCTCCAACTGTAATACCAGCCAGGGAAAATTATAAAAGAGAGTTTGGGGGTACCTGAATCATCCTTTAAGCGCACACATGGACACACACACATGCAATCCAAACCTCTCCCGTCACTGGACTCAGCAGGAGAGGGTTTTACACAGCAGTGAAAGTCTTTATGGCATTCAGATGGACCGAATGAGGGAACGAGGGGGAGAGGGAGAGCAGGATCTCCCCTGAGTCAATTTGAACAGTGGGCCGATGAAATTACACAGGTAGCTGTGGCCAGTCTGACAAATGAGCCCAGAGATGGGGATGAAAATAATAAGACAGGCAGAGCCACCTTTTGCTTGCTGACGCACTTACATGTAAGCTCATATGTTATCATGTAGCAGCAAAAAAAACAAAAACAAAGGAAAAAATAATCTATATTTTGCATTATACTGTTCTCTCTCAGTTCAGTCCCCCATGACCATACATATACCACACAAGAGTCATGCATCTTACCAATGCCTAAATGTTTTCTTGTGTAATCATAATCATGTTGAGGAACATGCTTCATTTCACTAAGAAGATAATAACAAGCCTCAATTCTGGGTAGGAGACTGTACAGTAAAGTAATAAAGTCTATGTCTGCACCTGTGAATGAATGCCTGCTTGTTATTATTTTCCCTAGCGATTATTGCCTTGGCCAAGTTGGAGGTAATGTTTTCACTGGTGTCTGTTTGTTGGTTGGTTGGACTTTTCAAAGCCTAACTCATGAAGCAATGATTGGATGTGGATGAATTTTTTTTTTTGGAGAACTAGGGTGTGGCCCACGGAACAATCAATTAGATATTGGTGCTGACTCAGCTCATCAACATTCAGACCCAGGAAGGAGATAGGGTCAATTCATAGTTTTCATGTGACTGGGACAGTGCCCTTGAAAGCAAGAAACCCTTCCACCATGACGGATAACACTGGACACTCTAGAGAACTACAGCACAGGCCTAACTTCCTAGTTATGTTCTACTTAAGGGCTTATTGTAGAAACAAAGAGATCCAATTTGCACCTAATAGCCGTTATTTTTATCTTTCTGCCCAAATTTTACTGCTCGTGTTATAAATCTACTCCAGAGAGAAAAAGCAGCGGTGGTTGAGCGAGCTAGCGTGTGAAAAGAAGAGGGAGTGGTGCTAGCAAAACAAATCACGCAAAACAAATGTTAGTTTCTGATTCATTCATGTTAATTAAATTCTAAAGCGCAAGTAAACACGGCCACATCTTTGCACAACCCTGCGGGAAGGATTTTATGTGAGTGCTGTCAAAGCACAGGCTTCCTGTCTGCCCTGCTGTGGTCTCTGCCCTGCATTTTATGTGTGTAACAGCTCCGCACTCGGTCAAACAGACAGACACACAACTCACATTATGAGGGTCAAACCATCAAGGAAATATTGCTTTTAGCTGTAAGAGCATAATAGGGAAACTGAGCTGCCTTGGTGGAGGTTTGTGCTCTCTGAGTGCCGTCTAGTATGGTGCTGTGCTGAAACTGTTGATGACCACGGGACAAAGTCTCGTTTCCACTCCACACCTGTATGAATTCTACAGTGAAGTTAAACTGAACCGAGTTGATGCAGTACATTCAGAGTCTTGGGTATGAAAGCGCACAGAAATAACAAATTACTGACAATCACATTCAAAGCTCCAGTCAAACACAAGAAAACAAAATGCCATAACACTGCTTCTGACTCTGCCACAACAGCTTCACAGTCCCAAATATTCAAGCTTTCCATTCAAATTAGTGCACGTTGAACTTGTCACACCAGTATCCCATCAGGGTAACCTTTTTTACTTAAACACAACAAAGACAGTATAATCTCTTTGAAAAGGAAAAACAAGAGATAAGAAAAATAAAAACAAAGCATTTCATACTGGCTGCTCAATAAATAAATCTATTAACATTTTATGTGCAACATTCTCAGTGTATTCAACCCAACAAATTATCTTGAACTTCTTTTGATGCTTTTGTTATGTCCCTACCTCCACGGCTTTGGTGATGAAGGGGATCTGTGTCCCTGAGTCCAGGTCCTGGTTGATAATGAGTCTGCGGGCCCACTGACCTGCCCGCACCACGCCACTGCCCTGGATCAGCACCAGGAGCTTGAGCGGGTTGGACAAGGCATCTGGGCTCAGGTAGATAAAACTGGTGGGTTCACCTTCAGTAGCATCCACCTAAACATTCAGGAAATCATGGGTCACCATGTGTCAGTTATGTACTTTGCTACTCAGAAAAAAAAAAGATATATTTCCCAAAGATGATTTATTTTTTAAGCTGCTGAATGTGTGTTGGATAGAATTTCATAAACTTTGAACTTAAAAATAAATTTCCATAAAACAGCAGCAAATGCAAAAAACAATCAGATACTGAGTTTATTAGAGCTTTGATTTCTGTTTCAAAGAATTGTCTGATAATGATTATGAAGAGTACATTTCTTGTGCAAAATGCATGAGTTTAAGGAGAAACAGTCTTCTCTTTTGTACCCTTTGAAATTAAAAAAGTTTATATCCATTAGTATACTAATCATCAATAATGATGATTAAAAACAGCCATTGTATGATTAAACTGAGGCAGAAAGTAATAAAGACGGGGAGAGAGTGAGTAGGTGAGTGTTTGTGTGTGTTTGTGTGTGTGTGTGTGTGTGTGTGTGTGTGTGTGTGTGCGTGTTTTTTCCCCAGCCACATCCAGTGCGTCTTTGCATCCCTCTCAAGTATGCCTGCAAGAATCTCTAAGGAGACAAACACTGTCCGTAAAAGCCATGGGTGGCAGCTGCAAGAACTTAATCCAAGCAGACAAAGAGAGCCGAGTGGGGGAGAAAATCTTACTCTTTATTCTCTTGTGCTCCCTCATTCTCTCTCCTTATACTTGGCTGTGGTTAATCTTCTTAAAATCTGCGGTCACAAGTTCAATGCCACGCAGGTGGACAGACCTAACACTAACACACAAATACACACATGCCATATACACACAGGCGGGTGGGCAGCAGAAAAGCAGAACAGAGCAATTTTCCAGAGGAATAATGAGATAAATAGGCCAGGCAGATAAACCGGTAAAAGTGTATGGGGGCTAATGAAAGGCGCTGAGTCCCTGGCTAGGTGATTTATGGACACTGTTAGCACTAGAGCTAACGCTGCTATGCTTCTAAACACTAGCACTGTAAATGCAGCCTGAAAAATGACCGCAACTTTTGCAAATAGAAAAAGTACGGGGCTGGATGGGTAAAGGGGGCTCAAAAAGGGACAAACAGGCATCCAACAACAAATAAAAGGGATCAACTGTATGCACCGAGCCTGGATGAGCCTTGCAAAGAATAACTCCATGATGGCAGAGTAGAAAGTCCCCTTCAGTGCAAATGAATGCAAAACAGATTACGCATCAGCACACTGCTCCTCTGCGCCTTTGAAATGACACGTCACAATACAGTTAATTTGTTGAGGAGACACTTTTGCACAAAGGATGTGGGAAGTGGAGGGGATAATAAAAAAGGAGTGAGTAAAAGAGAAACTGAGTGAGACAGAAAGAGAAAGACAAAGACTGATAGAGAAGTGAGGAGCGATGACTCCTCACAATCCCCTTTTCTTTATTTTTTAAACACTCGATATCATAATCATAGTCTAAAGCTGAAGCATTTATGTCAATTTTCATATTTAATACTCACTTTAATCTTCAAGGGCATAAATCAAAGAGGAAAATATCTCTTCACTCGGCGTACTTACTGGCAGGATTGCTTTAGTCATGTTGCACTTTTTCTCTAACAGCTCATAAACATACTGAGTGATGATCTGGAGAGGAAAAAGACAGAATACAAACACAGTCAGACACTACACTGATAAAGCAGTCTAATGCAATTAATATTTTCATATTGCTGTTGATACAAATCCCTCCAACAAAAGCCAGCTAAACCCAACGTGTATGTGTGAACAAGTAATCGCAACCATTGTCATGCTTGCAAACAGAATAAAAACCACTATTCAAAACCCTTGTTTGCCCTCTGGTGTGTGTGTGTGTGTGTGTGTACTTGAGTTACTTGAAAGGGTTTGGATTGTACTGTGTGTGTGTGAGAATGAGACTGTAGTGAGAGAGCTGAGTGCTGTAAGTGCCAGGAGAGGAAATCTCCTGTACAAGCAAAGGGCTGATGTAAGTTATGTTTATCCCCGCAGCCACACTAAAGAACCTTGTATACCGAGTCATCCCAACCCCAGGCCAAGCCTTTCATGGTTCAGCGATATTAACAACTTTCTTCTCCATTTTCCTATTTTTTCTTTCCTTCTTTTCTCCTCCCCACATCCTGAGAACAGAGAGACACGCTTTGTGGAACAGATATCGATTTTTGATCGGAGGTGAACAAAAGACAGAAGAGTTATAACAGCGACAACAGATGACAAGCACACCACCAATTGCAGGGAACTATGCTGGAGTCATTGTGGTGTTGTGTTGATATTTCCCAACACAGGTCCAGTCATAGATTCCACGTTCTGTACATGTCACAACAAAACAATAATGGGCAGATGGACCTGGGCAACAAAACAATAATGGGCAGATGGACCACAGGGAGAGCTGAGAAACATGCTGTCCTGCTCTGCTGTGAAGTCTCACTTTGCTTAGCTCTTGAGGCATCAGTCTTCCTAAATCAGGAAATCAAAGGCCAGGAGTGGTGTCACGGCTACAAAGCACGAGTACATGAACCCCAGTCACGCTCTGTAGTCAGAGAACAACCAACTGACTGACCCCAAACACAAAGCCTAACCACAAACAAGGATCAACCAGAAACTGTCATGTCTCACAGCAAAGAGTGGCATGATGTCACTGATATGTGCAAAGGGGGAAAACTGAGGGGAAAAGCTACAGTATATTGAGATTTAATAACAACAGGTTAAGAGACACTTGCACATTAAATGCTAATCAGGTTGGGTCATTTAAAACATCTGCACAAACATTTTTAAAAGGCATAGTTTATAACTTGGCTGTTAGAAGATTTTTAGAATATCAGTACACACAATCAGCAATTGTACAAAGAGTCTTGGTACAAACTGGAGACATTCACAAGCCATTACTTTGTCTTTGGAGCCAATCAAAAGTAATGGTGCTTTGTGTATAATGACCAGAGGTGTAGTACTGCAGCTAATGGCAACAACAAAAGCAAGGAAGCTAGACTTAGTGAAACTAACATGACGATATTTCTCAAAGTTCCTTGGAGAAAATGTCTTCACTGCTGATGTGATTAATGCAAAAATGTAATGGATCAGTATCAGAAAGTAAGGGGAAAAACTGATGGTTCTGCTTAGCTTCTGTAATTTCTGATACACACAAAACAAAATTTTCTTTGAACAAAGCTGTGAAATGTCAACTACAATACAATGAAATTATGTTGTAGTGTATGTTCCAAACTTCATCCAATTTCTAAAAGGCATGAATTTGAACAAAAAGGCCAAATGCAAATCAAGAGTAATCGAACATCAAAAGTAGACTCTCGTGATATTTAATAACTGGCCCAAAGACACTCAACACTAACTTAATTTACTGCTTTAAAAGCAAAATGCAAGCAGAACATTACACAACAGACACATATTAGCAAGACGACCAATCACAGGCCAGCAGACGGACTAAATGAGATGATCAATTCTACCATTTGACCTTGCGAAGAGGGGGAGGGGGGAGGCTAGAGGTACTAAAACCAAACCACCTCACCCCAACCCGCCAAACCTCCAATAGCTAATTCACTAAAATGTCAGCTGGTCTGATGAAGACTAAAATGATTCTGGGCCTCAGTATGATAGTGTTTAATGACATCAATAAGCCTCACAGGAAATTTCATTTGTACAGCGTTATTTGTTCAGTGCCTCAGGTGGCTCAAGAACCATCTGATATAGAATAAGGAGTGAGACTGATGAGGAACAAGAGAAGACAGAAAAAAGTGCAAAGAATGCAAGAGTCTCACTGCATGAATGTATTTCCCCTGATAAAAGGATACCCCAGATCATAAATAAGATCAATTACACATGCTTGTACTGTATATACCATCTGGCTGTGTGGTCATCTGTGTGTACTTATTTCATGATATAAAGTACAGTCTGATGACCTTCCAAGCCAATAAGATCCATATCCACCCAAAGTAAGAGTTGAACCAGAGCAGTATTTTAATGGCTCAAAATCTAAAACTGATTTAGAAAAAAAAATGGCACAGACCCAGACCTGAGGTATAAAACTCAGAAACGTCCATCGGACAAATGTGCTGATGCACACATAAAGCCAGCCTCCTTCTGTGTGGGCCTCTCGGTAGCTGATCAGTACAATAAGAAAAGCCTTTTTGTCACCTAATTACCAATGTGTTATTAGTGCTTTAATGAAATGCCTGCAGGAAGCGACGCTGAATGCCTGCATTGTCGGCATCAGACGATAGGAGAGGCATGAGGAGTGGATTTGGCAAATAATATTAAGACGCAAAGACAAGGGAAAGGGAGGGGGGAGGAGAGAAAAGTAAAATAAAAGCAACCTAAATCAATAGGTTTCATGACCACAAACACGCATACAATGTCCTTATCTGCAGCAAGTATGTAATATGATTCAGGCTGACAAGATATGGGTGTAACATAAAAATATAAAAAGTGGTTGGTTAAGTCCCAGACTGCACAATTCATCTCCAAAGACATAATCCCCCCCTGCAGAAACACATAAACAGAGGGACAGTTTGCAAATACTTGTAACACGCTTTGGAGTAGAGAAACAAAGTCAGCCTCCACTTATTAAAAAGATTTTTTAAAAAAGGGTGAACGTAGATTCAGAGTTGTCTTCTAGGACAGCTGGATGAACAGCAGCGAGCTTTCTACATGGACAAGAGAGAGATCATGGGAGAGTATGAAACAGACCTGCAGCTGAGGTCACCTCTCTGTCTGTTCTTTGTTTGTACAGAGGAAGTTGTGGCGGTGAAGCAACAAGAGTGGGATCAAGGAGGAAGGAAGGGACTTAGAGGAGGGCTCAGTGGGAGGAAATAAAGAAGACAAGAAGGGAGAGATGGAGATCCCCAGGAGCTAGAGTCCTGTGCCAGCTCCAACTGCGGTGAACAGCTGAGAGGAGTGATGGAAGAGGGGGAGAGAGAAGAATACAGTATGTGGCCTTGATACGAGGGACTTTACTGTACATGGGTGGGCTGTGACATCAACTTCTTGCAAACCTCAGGTCATTCCCATAATAATGTCTTCATCACTCTCACTAACATATCAGCCCAAGGTCTTAATGAAGTTGATATATTTTTACTTCTTGCTACAGACAGAGAAAAAGACCTCCCACGTTAAGTGTGCACATCCGCCAGTTAATGTGAATGTGTGTCTGTGTGTCCTCTCACTGATTGCAGCAGTCATGCTGGCTTGCCTGACTGCACCTTAGGCGATAAGGAGATGAGCCTTTCTGGGCTCACACAAAACAAGAGAACCGGGACAGGAAGTGAAGATCCAGAGGTGGGAAAGACGAAGAGTTGAGGCTCTGTATGTGTCCGAGCAATGAAGCCACAGAGTGGTTTTAAGGCCTTTTTGAGGTTTCCAGTTTTGAGTTTCCAGAAATGTGACTGGAACAATTTCAACCATTTACACTACTGGGGCCTATGAAGCCACACTGGTTTATCTGATAAACTATCTCAGAGTGTCAGCCATGTGCACAAAGAGGCTCACATACTGTACACACACACACACACCTCTTGTCTCTCTAGTCCAGAACCCTCTCCAAAAGCCACTTAGCCATAAAAACCAGAGAGCAAGAAAAGATATCAAAGCTGTTTATATAATGAAACTGAGAGAGCTGCTCCATGCCGTATCACTGACTGCACCCAGGAAAGCAGTCCTTCTCTAAAGAATAGGGGAAGAAAAAAAAGAAGACGACCCCCCCCCGAACAATGCAATATAACAACAGAAAGACTCTGCAAATGAGAGAGAGCATGAGTCAACAGAAAGGTTGTTTATTTTAAGGCAGCCTTGTGTTCAAAAAGAAAGGGGTATTAAAATAGGGTCTATTGTTGTGAATTTGTGATCTGTCAGTCCATATGGGAAACAAAGGGAGAGAGAGTGGTATAATTCCCATGAGGTCTCTGTCATTCTTCTGTCAATGGAAAGAGGGCTCTGCAGGGGAAGAGAAAGTTCTCAGACACAGACAGACAGACTGTTTACAGTGTAGATATTCCCCTCTCTCACTCTCCGCCCTCCCTGCCTTACTTATTCTAATGGCATCGTAATGACCTCCTCAGGTGTTAACAGAGAAGCTGGCAGAGGGCTAATTTAAAGCAAAGTACTGGGCGCCGGTGGTAGTGACAGATGCCAGTGTAACTACCAACCCTCCTATCTATTCTCTAACACCTTACCCAACACCCCACCAACACCTCCCACTGTCCAATTCCCTTCTCTTTCATCAACTCTAATCCACCTCACTCACTCCCTATAACCATTTTTGTCTGACTGTGTCTGCCTCCTCCTCCTTGCTCTCAGCAGAAACTGCAGCAGCAGTGTTTAAGCGATTTGGGAATGGAGACGTGATGCCAGTCAGTGAATCAGGGAAGACAGCTGTCATTTATAGTCTCTCTTTAGAGAGACCCCATTAGCTCCCCAACAAAATGGTCCAGAACTGGTATGGGGCTTCCTGGTACTTTAAGCACAGTACAGAGGCCTGTCTTCAGGGTAGGCTTGACACAACACTTCATGACTGCACCATGAATTTTTATTGTTAACAGCAGCACCACAAGCTAAAAATATAATCGTCCCTTATTGTTATTTATCAGTAAGGGCTCAAATGTTTACCACATTTCTGTGGAGAAAAACATTTTGGGAGATCACCCTTATACATTACATACAGTATATATAAAAAATAAATACTATCTCATACAGGTGCATCCAGTAGGGGACACAGGGAGGACATGTAAACTCCACACTGAAAGGCCCCGGGTCATCGAGGAGCCTTCTTGCTGAGGTGAAAGCGCTATCCACTGCGCCGCCATGCCACTATGACATAATATGCTCATCATGATTTATCATTACCAAAGAAAATTCTCTTGCCATTTTCCTCAGTGTTTTGCTCAAGGGCACTTCAGTAAGGCCTTACACCACAGCAAGCTGGGGCACCACTATGACAACAACCAGCACCCATAATGTGGAAACAGGAAGAGAAACAGGATAAGAGAGAGACAGTATAAGACAGTGTAAGAGACAGAGAGAGAATGAGAGATGAAGAGAGAGAAAAGGAGAGGGAAAGACAGCTTTCTAATTCAGCCATCTGGCTAGCTTTACTTCATTATAATAATCTGTCTGTGTGTGTATGTGTGTGCGTTTACAAATTTGTGAGTGCCTTCCATTCCACAGATGCAGGCAGAGCAGAGAAGAATCCTCATTTATTAACAGCTTAATAGAGCTCCATCTGGACCAGACCCTATGCTTGTCTTCTATCAGAGAGATTCATCACCGAATCACAGGAATTACACTACAACTGACACCTACACAGGCTGAGGTGACCCCGCTGCACTGAGCAACACCATGCAGAGAGCATGGACAGTATTACAGCTGTAATACAGCCACTTTAAAAAACATTCAGAGCCAACAACAGAAGATATCACTACACCAGCAGCCTTGGTTTGAGTAACACTTAAGTCTGAATATGACAAAGCAGAATACAAAAGGACGAACATAATAAAGAATGCATTAGACCCATGCAAACATTTGCAGAATGGGGTTAATTGGAAGAGAGAGATGCTATAAGTCAATGCATTCAAAACATAGACCTCCCCCGATGCCCTTTCTTATGTTATTGCCATACCTTCAGACTACAAAGATATAAAAAGGCATCTGTGAGTGAGCTGACTGTAGGTAAAAAAAACTGGATGGTTTTGTCCCACTGTATGCCTGCACTTGTGCTCAAAAAGTACATTCAAAGTTCAATTTGTGTAATTTAATTGTTTTATTAACCTTCGTTTCTATTTCTTTTTTATGAACCTATCTTGTGTATGTCTCCAAGAGAGTAGTTGTAAGCTTGACGTATTTAGCCAATTTATGCACTAGTTTGATGTAAGCAATCAAACATGTACTGTATGACTTACCATGTTTATGTGCACTTCCAACCTTCTCTCTCTCTCTCTCTCTCTCTCCTGGCTGCAGTGGCTTGCACATATTTTTCAGTAGCTATGTTTTTGTTTTGTGCACCTTATGTCATTCTATTGCAATTCAACTTCCTTTGAGCTTGTTAAATGGCTACTATTGCATTGAGAACATAAACAAGGCCTACAAATTGGTAGACTATATGTTAGAACTTTATGGGTGACTGTTTTTCTCAGGTGGCCCATAGTGTCCAATCAAAGTGAACTGGTGCAGCTTCTTGGAAATCTCTCCACTGCATAGCATGAATACATGGCAAATATTTTGAATTTTTTTTTTTTAAATAATAAATGAACAGTAAAACTGATTAAATGCTCTCGTGCTGAACCCAAATTTTGTTCCCATCACTCTCTTTTTACTTGGAGGCCATCACACCATCATCTTCCTTCTCCTTCTTTCTATCGTCCCTCCATTCAGACGAGGCTGAAGTGCAAATTGGACATCTGGTGCTGTGATGTGTCTGACAATACAGCCGCCAACCCCCCGGCCCCGTCGCACACGTACACAGACACGCAAACGCATGTCTACACACACAGTCACACAAAATACAGAACTGTGAAGAAATAAAGACACTGGGAGGAAGAAAGGAGGGAGGGAGAGATGGACAGAGGTATGGCGGAAGGGAGGAAGAGCAGGAGGAAAAAATGTGAGTGAACATTAGGGGGCAATAATGCTGCCATTCTATTCACACTGCCAGGGGCAAACTCGTGCACTTACGTCCTTGTGCCATCTCTCACAGCTCTCAGGCTGAATTGTGACTAGTTCTCAAACTGTCTCAGGTGGCAGGCTGATAGAGGGCATTGGGGTGTGTTGTGGAGTGGTGTTGGCTCATAACAGGTCTGTCTGCATAGAGGCTTATTCTAGCTCTACCCTCACAACATCTGACAGTCTCTCATCCTCCCCGATTCAGAACTGAAAGTGAGGGATCGGAGAAAAGACTAAAACAAAGGGAGGAATTCATGCACAAATACATCTGCATGTGTCAACCAGATGGACGCAGTAATATACATGCAGGTACGCCTGTGTGACACACAATCTTAAACACACATGCAGAGGCAGACTAAGCGTCATAGCCTACTTTTACAACCAAAGGCAAACAGTTGTGTCTATTTATAATGAAGCATAGCAAAAAACAAAGCGGTATGAGAGAGGTACAGTAGTATTTTCTTGAATCATGTGTGAGCTAAAAACAACAGACAGATAATACTGTTTATTCAGGTAGTGCTTCCTTCTTCTCAGCCAGTTAATCTCCTGCACCAGAACTCAAACAGTACCTGTTCTCATTACACAAGCTCGTATGATAACTGATTGACACCATTTCATTTTTTTTTCTTCTCTAAAGACATTTTTTTTTTAATCACAGGATGAATAAAATTTGCATACATCCTGCTTGATGATTATTTGTCTTCTTCAAATCTTTGTTCCCCCCTGGATGTCTGAGTTCAGTAGGTTTAAATGTCTGTGTGTTCTTTAAGAAACTCTGCTTTTCTGCTACCAAATGTTTGTTTCTACAGCCTTTATAGATGCTGGTGGATTGTGCCTGAGCATGCAAAAGAAAGGGGTGGGGGGAGCCTTTACGGAAGACTGGCTCTCAAAGGAGCTACTGTATACCTGCATTAGAAATAATAAAAACACCCAGGTAATCCCACAAACGGGTCTATCACTTTGCTTTGAACTTCAAAGAATGCATGCAACAATTAAAAACAACATAGTAGGGGTCCAAATAAAAACAACAAATTACAAAAGAACATTTGTCTCATTATCTTAATGCACAATGCACATGGTGGTACTGTGGCAATGAATTAGAGGCGAACTTTAGGATTGTGAATGCTTGGATATTTGGTGATGCAGCTGGACAACCAAGGTACTTCATAAGAGCATCAATGATCTTCACCCAGAATCCTAGAAACCTTACAGCGTAAAGCATATGGCAATTTTACATGATCACATCATGTCTGTAAAAAAAGAACTAGAGCCTGTAACAGTCAATTAGCCTCCTCAAGCCTTAGTAAAAGTTTTATACTCTTCTGCAGTATGATTAGTCACATAATAACAATGGATAAAGCGCACACAGATTCACAAGGTTCTTAGACAAAATTATTATTAAAATAAAACAAAATTAAAATTATTAGAGAAATGTTAACTTTGACCGTTTGGTTTCCTTAAAACTACAGAAGTTGGTTTTGCTGTCGGACTATGTCAAACTGGCAAATATTTATGTCACACAATACTGTGCCACCTTGGCCTCGGGAATGCAACATTTTGACAACCTGTGAGATCAGGACATCCATCCATCCATCCATTCGTTTTCTAAACCGCTTAGTCCCAAACAGGGTCTTGGGGGGCTGGAGCCAATTCCAGCCAGCTGCGGGCAAGAGGCAGGGTACACCCTGGACAGGTCACCAGTCCATCGCAGGGCTAACACACAGACGAACAACCACTCACAGACACAATCACTCCTACAGGCAATTGAGAGATGCCAATCAACCTATGCTGCATGTCCTTGGACAGTGGGAGGAAGCTGGAGCACCCAGAGAGAACATGCAAACTCCGCACAGAAAGGCCCCGGGTCGGCCAGGGCTCACACCCGGAACCGTCTCGCTGTGAGGCAACAGCGCTAACCACCTCGCGCTGAAATCAGGATATATGAACATCGAAATATCTCAGGTTCCATGTGTGATAAGGGCCTATGCGCCATGTCTTTTTTGTCTTCTCTCCTAAGAATCGACAACCACTGCAATATTCAATATCGTTAATTTCATGTTTATATGCTTAGTATGCCAGTAGAAAAAGCAGTGTGTTACCTCTCCAAGAGCTTCATAGCGTTTCTGGTTCCAGCGGTGAAGATCCTCTCTGGCATTGAACACAAACGGTTCTCCTGTTATTATATGTCTGAGCTGACCGTCTGTGGGAGAGAGCCAGAATAAAAGAAGGAAAGACATCTGACACAGACACTTGCATATATAACCAGCCAAAGTTTGGACACACCTTCTCACCTTTTGGTTGTTCCATTCTTTTCTACACTGTAGATAAAACATTACAGCTATGGAATAAAACATATGGAATTATTCAGTAAGCAAAAAAAAAAAAAGTTAAATGACCCTAAATATGTTTTCAATTTTAGGTACTTCAAAGTAGCCGCATTTTACTTTAATAACTGATTTGGACACTCTTGGCTTTTTCTCCACCAGCTTCAGGAGACAGTCAGCTGGAATGCTTTTCCAGCAAGTTCCCACATATGCTCAGCACTTGTTAACTGCTTTTCCTTCACTCTGCGGGTGGCTATGGTTCAATGGGTAGAGCGGTCATCTCCTGACCGGAGGTTGGTAGTTCGAATCACAGTGCTGGCGGTCCACATGTCGAAGTGTCCTTTGGTAAGACACTGAACCCCCAAGTTACCACCGATGGTTAGAGCCATCGGTGTGAGTTGGCGCTGCAGATGGCTGCCTCGGTTCTGTACCGGAAACAAAGTCCTTGGCCAAGTAAAGGTGATTATCCTTATCCTGTAGTCAAGCCCATCCCAACTGGGTTTAGATTGGTTGACTGTGGAGGTCAGGCCACTGCAGATGAATAAATCAGCAAAAGTGTCACCAGAAAAGCACCCCCACCCCACCCCATCATTCCTCACAGTGATAACCACACATGCAAGTACCATTTGTTCTCCTTCTCAAATTTGGACTCATCAGACCAAAGGTCAAATTTCCACTGGTGTAATGTCCATTTCTTGGCCCAAACAAGTCTCTTCTTCTTGTTGGTCTCCCTGGTTTTTGTTGCAGCAATTCAACCATGAAGCACTAATTTGCGCAGTTTCTGCTGAACAGCTGATGTTGAGATGTGTCTGAATCCTGTGAAGCATTCATGTAGGCTCTAATCCAAGGTGCAGCTAATTGATGATCTCTGAGACTGGTAACTCTAATGAACACATCTTCTTCTGCACTGACTGACTTTCATATCTTAAAGAAACAACAGACCGCTTTCCTCTTTACTTAATTGAGCAGTTCTTGCCATAATCTGAATTAATAAAGTAGTCAGCTGGGAGATGTGGGAAAGAAGTATGACTATGTATATCCACAATACCTTGGCACAACACAATGATCAGAACTTCCACCAATAAACTTTTGCCAAATCACACATTATAATTGAAAACCATTCCAGGTGATGTCCTCATGAAGCTGGTTGTGATGCTGCCAACAGTGTATAGAGCTTTCATCAAGGAAATCGCAGCTTCTTTTTTTAAGTATGTCCCTACTTCTGACATGTAAAAGTAACTTTATGTGCCAAATTAGGCAAACTAAGCTCAAGCCATTACTTTATGTATTGTTTATTTTCACTTTCTCTTTTTCTCTGTTGTTTTTTGTTCTTTCGTTTCCTTCCCTCGCTCCCTCCCTCAACCACCCCCATCTGGCAGGTACAAAGCCTATGGAAGCAGCAGCCTTCTTCCAGTCACGACTTCGACGGCCTTCTGGGTAGTCTGGCAGGCCAGGCCTAGACAGCTGGTATGGCAAAAACTCTCTCTGCCTCTTTTTTATCCACCTAAAAGCCTCTCCCCTTCGACGTTAATTGTGTCCATCTCTCTCTCTTCTTCGTTGCTTATTCTGGCGACAGGCCACAGGTCTGTCCCTCACTTTTCTACCTGAAATCTTCAAGAGCAAAGACTATGGGAAAGTGGGAAAGGTTCTCAGAGTGTGTGCGTGTGTGTGTGTGAACCTGAAGAGAGAGAGGTGGGCTGGCATGCATTAGCCACAATGACAGCTACTCTGCAATTCTTCTGAGGATGATGTCTGAGCATCAGCCAATCACCCTGAGCAGCACAGCTTACACACACCAGCAGCTTCAGCCAGGAGAGCCAGCTGTGGATATACAGTAAGTGTCACTAGGGTTCTGTAAATTGTTACAAGTGGACCTTACTGCTATTATAACACTTAGCAATCAACTGCAAAAAAAGTTCTCTAGGACAATGTCCAGGTGAATTGTTATGATTCAGGGAAATCAGAAGAGTTCTTAACACATTCAGGTTTTATTTCATATAAAACAGCCATAAGAGAGAAAAAAGTCGTTCAGAAATGGTACTACTTTTTTCCTTAATAAACAATTACCCTCATGTGGCTATGGAACCACTATGTTTATACCTTAGCAATGAGCCCATCGATCCTGCAGTTGACACTACAATACAATAAAACACTAAACAGTGTTAAATTTAATTTTGACCTTTATGACTGCAGAATTTGTAAGAGCTAAACCACTGAAAAGTACACATACTTAACCCAAATAGCCAGGGGGCTCTCATACTTTCTCAATTATTGCACAACATGAGGAAACCCATCTTGAGATATAAATAAATACAATATCTTTGCAAGATAAAACAATGCATAGGCATTTTTTCATCTCCTTCTAAATTGCCACCATTTTCACCCCTCTGTCAATGTGATAAATCTTACATTGCTCACACACTGTGTATTACAGCACTTGCTTTCATGGCTAGTTGTTAGACAACATGTAATCCTGAATATAGGTTTGTCATCATGTGCATTAAAAAGCAGAGTTGTGCCTGAGAGGTAGAGCAGCAGACGAGTGAGACGTTATGATAAAGCTGTGTGCAAAAAAAAAGTACCTTGAAGAAAATCAATTATGCATTCATGGAGGGGTGAGGATCTAAACACCACCGCCTAAGAGAAGGAAGAGAGGAGCTATAATGAAATCCTTCTGTGGGGAGGTGTGTGTGTGTGTGTGTGTGTGTGTGAAGGAAGTAGAGAAGTGTGTGGTGTATGTGTGTGCGGGGGGACCAGCTCCATCGCCTCACCCAACACATCCTCTCAGAGGAATAACGTTTTCTCAACTTTTCTCCTCTTTTTCTGTCATAATTAGCATTCTGTTCTCAATTTGGCCGCTTAATTAGGTGTACATAACCTTGGATTTCCAGTAATGGAAAACCGGAGGGCTAGCAAGATGAAGCCATCATCTTCAGTGATTAAGATACCTGCAAACTATTGTACACAGCCTCGTCTGTATTCACATCATTACATGGTCAAATTAACATTTTTGTTCCACCTGTCTTGGGCAAAGGTAGTCTGGGTGTAGCTATAGAAATGCCTGCGAGCCAGAGCAACTGTGAGCCAGCATACTAGAGACACCGCCTGAGGGCCACCGTGGCTTTAATAGAAATGCTATCCTTCAAAAACAGGCCTGAGTGGAAACTGACAAGACGTTCGGATGGGTATGAGTGTGTATGTGTGTTGGTGTATGTGTGTGAGTAGACTGTGTTTCGGTTGGGGATTTTGAGCAGGGCAGGGGTAGAAACAGAAAAATACAGAGAGAGGGAAATAAGGGAGACAAAAGGGTGAGGCGATGGCGAGTCTCTGAATGTGTTCCTCACTTGATGGGAGACTGAGCTGAGACTTGAGGGTGGGGTAGAGCGAGTGGCGGGTGTTGGCACGGAAGCAGGTGAGGGGTAAGCCTCTGTGTCTCAGTTTTTAGGCACAGCGAGGTTATGCAAATGCTCCGTCAGGCGGAGGGCAAGGCTGAGTAGGTTACTGACGGGCCGTAGAGTACACAACATGTCCCCCACTCCGCCAGCCAGACAGCCAGCACAGACACTGACAGAGAACAGAGGGGTGAGCGAGAGAGAGAAGGAGACTACAGAGGAATACTAAGAGCCAAAACCGCCACCACCTTTCCAACTCTTCCTCCATTTCTCCACCTGGCTTAATCGAAGTGAGCCAAGAGAATCCTAAAGAGATTTTTATATCATCTGGACTCGCACCACTCTGGGTCCAGCTCTGCTCCTTGCTGTCACTGCTAACTGACACACACACACACACACACACACACACACACACACACACCTGTACTCTCAAAATGTCCCAGGTGACAGGAGACAGTGTAGGTCATTAATACAAAAACACTGACAGAACTGGAATTACACAAAGATTCTGTTATGTTGAAAGTGACTCAGATTTAGTTTTTTCTTTTATCCAAGTTTTAACATGACTCCAGTGAATGCAACCACCTCTACAGACCACTAGTTTCCAACCTGGGGTTATCTATACTTATATTGCAGAAATGTGAACAATCTTTGATGGTTAAAACACGGGATTGTTTTATTTCCTCAATTACTAACAATTTCAAGGTGGAAGTCTGGTGGATATCTTCCAGCTGTGTGACAAGGGCTACATATTAGGGGGTCCAAAAGACTAGGCACTACTGCTATAAATGACAGGACACTTGTGTTTTATACTGTGAAAATCAAAATATGTACGTACATTCATTAAAGTCATATTCAAACTCCTTCAGTGTTTTGGGGAAAGTGAAAGGAGGTTCGTCTTTCTTCATCAGTTCATCTAAGTCTATTCTTGACAGTAAATCTGAGGAGAAAGAGAAGCAGGAAGACCAAGGGTGAGAAAAAAAATGACTGAGAACAATCACACAGTACTTGCTCTTCTTCAAAGAATGTCAAAATCCTATTTTTATTTCATGATCTCACCCACAACATCATAACCATCTACATTTCACTTCGATAATGTGCCCCTATTTTGTTAAGCAGCAAATGCTATGCCAAAGTCCTCCCTACTCACTTAAACTAAAAGCCCTTTAACCATCCTCAAGTGGCGCAGTAGGTAGAAAAGTGGATATTCACATCAAATAATCAAACAGTTTTCTGCAAGTTCTATCACTGAAGTAGAAAGAAACTAGAGGAATAAAACACACATATTGGTTTGCTAAAAGGATGGGTGAATATATTTGACTCCAGTTGAACTGGAACATCTCCTGTGTCATCTACTCATGGGCCCAGTGAAAAGTCTAAATATGAACTAGTAAGTAAAGATTTGTCAACAATTTAAAACTATATCTTACTTCACATTGACCACACATCATTTAAAGACATGCACAAATCAGAGAGGGACTGCACATTCGTTTATAACAATACAAGTCTAAATCAGTGTTTCTACCACATCTACTCAAGTATTTATTCCTGTGACTATATGGTTGTAGATTTAGAATCATCTCTGAGACACTGCTTACATGGAGCAACACATTTCAATGAGGTTTACACTTGAGCTCCTTTCTCATCCTACACTACCACATTTCCCTCTTCTCTTCTAAATCCACTACTAATTTTATTTTTATTTTCAGTGTAACAGCCCAAGTTCACCTTTCAGTGCTGTAGTTTTCTCTCTGTCTTCCTGGCCAGCTACCTGGGCCATGGTGATCCACAGTATGTACAGGGCTAGTGTGGCAGCACAGTGATGAGAAAGCATAGGTCCTCTGACTTCCCAGAGATTACTGAGATGCATCCTGTCATGTGTGGAAATTAAAAAGAAATCAGCACAACATATGTAGCATAGTGCATCTTACTTTACAGTGCCTATACCTGCCTGAATCCCTTATTAAGACCATAAAAGCAATTGTTTCAGAGCTTGTTGCACCTGAAAGGTGGCAGTAAACCGAGACATTACAGCTTACTGTTGAATGCTTACTACTCTCCTGCACAGGCTACTAGCTCATAGCTTGCTGAATAAAACGGGGCAGTGATCATTCACACTCCAATTACACACCACATAAACGGGCTAACTGCAACTATTTGTCAACATTATTGCTATGAAACATGTAACTGTTAGTGCAGCAGTGCGTTTGCTGAACTTTGCACATGTGCAACAAATGAGTTAATTATGCAACACAAGCAAAGTTATTCTTGTATAACCACGATGCGGACTGTAAAAATGTCCATCTTCACATGCCTGTCGTATTTTTACCCCAACACGCAGCCAACACACGTTTCATGTTCCGTACTCTTAAAACAACCCCGTGGACGTGTGCAGCCGCTCTACATAGGGGCGCAGCAGGATATATTCGGACTTTGTTTCACATTCGTTGAATACAAACGGAACACCGAGGATCAGAGAGAAGCAAATGTCTGCATGCTTTTCGTTCGACTCACGCACCATTAGTACATATGCGGCTGTCCAGTTCCTGCTGCTTCCTTGAACAGGAAGGAAGAACTCGGAGCTGTGCAGAGCGTGGAGAACGTCAAACTTCCGGGTTACCGGGGCAACGGACTGGAAGAGCTATTTAAAGGCACAGTAGCGCAGCAGCTGCCGCAGCTTGGTGTTGGACTTCTACCTGGATAGCTACGATGTAATGTTCAGCCGTGGAATGGAACCAAATACTGTACTTTTTTATGCTAATTCTACTCAAATACATTTTAGACCGAAATCCTGTAGGCTACTTTTAAGCTGTTTTAGCTGAACTGTTATATTTAGATACTTTGCCTGTAAAAGATTGTAAGGTAAAACATATCATCTTCTAAAATAAGACGCATTGTGTTAGACTAATCTACCCACTAAACTACTAACATGGTTGTTGAAATGACACACACACACACACACACACACACACACAATTTATTCTAGTAATAGGCTATATAATAAATATAGGACTGTGCCATTTTGCATAGCCATTCCTATTTGTACTTTTGATAATAGATAATCACCCTTATTTGGCCAAGTATGTTACACACAGGGAATTTGTTTCCAATACAGAACCGAGGAAGCCAAAGGACACTTCTACATGTGGACTGCAGGCACCTTAGATTTGAACCACCAACCCCCTGGTTGGGAAACAACTGTTCTACCCACTGACCCCCCCCACTCCTACCCCAACATGTACCCCAACCCCTCACTCCCACTCCTTATAACTTTTTACTTTTATTTCCAGTGTCACTTTTAGTTTCTCATTGCTGACATTGCATCTTTACTTTTGCTTAGGCAGATGACACAGCACTCATTTATCCTGATTGTGTATTGGTGACTGCCAGGATGGTATAGGCTATCAGCATATGAACAGAGTGGGGTTAAACTTGGTCACTTGTAAGTGGAAGTTGAATAAATTAACTTGATGTAAAGCTCTCACATTTGAAAATAAACAAGATTCCTCATCTTAAAATAATAATAAAAGATAGGATATTGACTAGATAGGGCTGGAAGGAGGACAATTTTAGAAATGCCACCATGACACACACAGCACCCTCCATAGATGTTACTTACAGTATAAAACCTTGCCTCTACTCCCAGCCAAACAGTACTTTGTTCATTCTTCTAATATCACTGAACTGTTTCCTATTGGCAAGAGCAACTTGCTTTGCAAACATGTTATCCTAAATTTAACAGTCTTTACTCTCAGATTCATGTTTAAGTTGCTCTATACTCCACCTCTGGCACAAGGACTTCAGTGGGACCTCTTGGGAGAACCTGTTGTGATGGAAGTGCTCAGGACTGTTTTCATGAAATTGTGAGAGTGACATGGATCAGAGCACATTAAAGAACATTCGAAGGAAAAGAAGAGCGATCTAATTAAAGTGAGACCTGCCAGATAGTGATACTGTGCTACAGATGACCACACTCTGTTCCCCTATCAAGTACCTGTAGCTTTGCTTCAGTTACTTGCTGTTGATTCACAGAAATAGTCTCCCTGTTAAACTTAACCTGGATGTCCTAGTTCTGGACAGCCTCTTGAAATTAAAACTGTTTCTCTGGGGAGCCGAGTTACCCTGTTTCTTCAAACAGAGTGATGGAGATGCTGCAAAGGGAGGCCCACACAGATACAGATAACACATTGTGGCACTGATTTTCATGCACGTTGACAAAAGAAAGGAGATGCCTCTTGCTCACTCTGTTCTCACTGCAGCACTTGAGACTAGAGGTGTAGAGTCACATGAGTTCTAACTACTAACGTTTGTTCACAGTAAACAGTTGTCTTACAAAAACAATCTAACTTGCCAAATATTTTTTTCTTGCAAGACCTAAATAAAACATCTTTCACTGTTATGTTAAATACAGTACATTTAGAAGAGGCTAATGATGTTACTGTTTAGCCTTTATTCAAGGCACATCAAGAATTCAGTTGCTCAACATTTTGCTGTCTTTTGTATTCTCTAAGTGGTTTTGAGATCACAATCTTGCTGCATTTGCATTAAAAATCAAGTTAAGGAAAGGAACATCTCTCTCTGAAGCTGGAAATATTTTCCTCATGCCTCAAAGGAATTGCACAGGGTGTGCGGTAGCCTTTGTGATCTAAAATTATGTCCTTGACGATAAAATAGCCTAATTTGAGTTGTTTAATCCTTGTTTGGACATCATAAGAAAAACATATGATGTATGTATTCAGAATGGTAACTTCATAGACACTAATCATTAAAAAAAATTATGACTACACTGAGATCACACAAATTGATCACATAAAAATGAATAATATTCAATGGAGAAGTAAGAATAGGATTTTCTTTTCATGTTTAAATCTAAAATGTTCCACCTCTGTTTATAAATAATAAAATATGGACACAGTTGAAAACATGTACGTGTAAGTGTGTACACACAAAATAAATGCTTTCTCAGTTTGCACAAAATACTGTGGGGCAGATTTGGGGGACACGCTGTAATCAAAACCTACATCATCCTGCTTCTCAGCTGTAATATTTGATGTTTGCTTTCAGGGATCAGGGGAATGTATGCTGACACCCATGTCTTTACACCCACTGTCTCGAAAAAAAAAAAAAAAAAACTTCAATTACCTAGAATGATCACACAGTCCCATCTTGTTCCAGGCAAACAAATATGGGCACTACATTTCCCAGAACTGAATACTGGAGATGTGTTCCAAAAAGATGAAATGCATCTGATGCAGCATAGAGAAGCACTGAGAGTTTGTCTGAGGCATGTGCATAAAGAGGGAGGCGCCGTCTCCCTCACTCTTTTTGTTGTTCCACAGTTTCGTGTCCTTTCACTCACTCATGTTTTCAAGCACACACACACACACACACACACACACACACACACACACAAGCAAACTCAGTGCATATAGTACATGCACAAACCAACTCAGACCCACAAATGTGCACACACACACACCTACACACCCATAAAAAATTCTACTACCAAGAGAGCTGCAAGTACATATTACAAGCAAGCATTTACAACATGATAAAAATTCCAACAGCATGAACTGTTATTGGGCAGCATTTTTATTGAATGGCTGTGTTTCCCCCTGGGTCTGCTCTGCTAGTGTCTCATCAGCTTCAGGAGGGTCCTGTTGTCCCGGGCTGCAGCAGCAAGCAAAATAGGCTTTCTGAAGTTCTTCTACCATTGCTTTCTCTCCATCTTCCAGCTCTGCTCCTTCCTGCAGCTCCCACCTGGAAGGCATAGATCAAATGCAGAGCAAGAGACAGAACATAGGCTGTTAATATTAAAAACATTTTTCACCTCATGTTAGATTAAAACACACAAAGAATCTCACCCAATGTGCCTACACCTATAATTTATGTTGGTTTTCAGTTTTACAAAAATTATAGGATCAACTCACCTACAAAATGCTGTTTGTGTGTATCTGTGTGCTTGTATCTCCTTTCTATTTGTGTCTCACACAGACTAAAGAACACAGCCTGGATTAAAAACAGATTGAGGAGTAACCTGTTGTCACTTCTTATTTCATGCTGTAAACACTGGGTCAGTTTCCCAGCTGTGATTACACCTAAGCATTATGAATACACACTAACAGATCTGCAGGTATCTATGCAAAGAGAGATTGAAAGCTTAATGGATGTTAATATTAAAAGAGAAAACTGTGAAATAAAAAAGATTAGATACTTTTTACTCTTTCTAAACCTTTCTCTGAGTGTCTTCCCTTTTCTGTCAATCTGCTGCTTGCTGTGGCTAAGTCACGGTGCAATGGCTGCACAACGATCCTTGTTTGGGTTTATGGAGGAAATTGCTCCTCGTATCTTGTTGTTTCTCCCTCTTGTATAATTGCTTCTACAGTATGTCCTTCCATCACATTTTCTAATTCCTCGAGCTACAGGCTTCAAAGTGAAGACATCGAGTGTAATCACACAATTTACTCTAAGTATTTCAATGAAATCCGTTGACGAGTGACTGTGGTCAATCAAATCCATATGGAGTGCTGGCTGAGGGCTGCCTTTGAGCTGCCCCATCACACTCCCTCCAAAGGAGAATTATATCTGTCTGACTGCAAATGATTGCATTTTCACTGCAATCTCTGCGCCTCCTTTTATCCCGCCTCCCCTCCCCTCCCCTCCGATCCCTCACCCCTCACGGTATCTTCAAAAACATGCCATATAGTTTTGGTCTGTGCATGTGTGTAAGGAAGAAGAGGGCATAAAACATCAAGTATATCATGTATGTGTCTCATGCATACTAAGAAGCAGGGTTCTTAATGCACAGCACTCTGATAAAGTTTCAGTCTATGTCGAAGTGTGCATTTAGACAATCTGTAATCCCTCTTTCTCTTCTTCCCCAGCACTGTCAATGTGGTGATTCACATCTGTAGGAAAGGGATCCATTTATGTAAATGTGCAGCTTTGACAGAGAGGTTTCCATTCATGTGACTGCATCCATGTTGGAGTTTGTTCACTAGTTTTCTGGCTCCTTTTGGGCGTCATTCTTTCAGAATCATCCTTAATGGCCAAGCATGTTTGAACACACAAGGAATCTGACTCCGATTCAGAGGCTCTCACTGTGTTGTAAGGCAAGAAGAAATAGAAAAATAACAATGCAAATAAAACAATAAAGATGAAAATAAACAGTGTGTGCACTCAAATAGGAAATATGTGCAATCAAAAATAGGAAAAAGTTGAGAGACAGCATTTATAAATATACAGCAGAAGATCTTTCTCAGTCTCATTCATGTTTTTGGTCTTAGAGTGGACTACCTTTCTAAAAAGACAGAACAAAGAGAAGAGTAGTTAAGCCTGCCTTTGATAACTACCATAGACATTTAAGGAAGAATGCAGATGACTGCCAGGGGCAGACAAATTATTGTAAATTTTCAGTTTGACAAAATATCTATTATGGAACCCAAACAACACTCACACAAACAGAACAATACAAATGTCACCCAGGGAGCAAAATACGAAGTGAAAGGGAGTGAGGGAGAACAGAAAGCTGGAGGAACAGTGGCCAATAAAGGAGCAAGCAAGAGAGGAATCAAGACAGGAAGGTACGCTAAAGGTTTTTCAATGTTTAATTTTCAAATAGGATTAAGCAGAATGACATTTAGCTGAAGGTTACAGGCTCAGCATTGTCTTAGCTGATATTGATATGCAGGAGGCGCCCTGCTTGTCACAGGGACAAACACCATTGATGAATGAGAAGCCTTTCCCCAGGAAGGTGTTAAGTGCAAATTTGAAATGAGAGAGAGGTAGAGAGGGAGAGAAAAAAGAAGAAGAAGCACACACGGGCATAGATTGAATTACCATGATAGTTGCTATGTATACTGTCACTAGATAATGTTGCCAAAAGTGTAAATTGTTCCATAAAGTGTAGGTTGCATATTTGTTGAGACTGGCTGAAAATGAGCCAAAAAATACACAAGGTGCTTTGCTGTGTGTATCTAATTTCGACAACTACAACACAACAGTGCCTTTTAGAAATGCAAAAGTAGGCTAAAGTTGACAGCAACTTCACTGTATCCTCATTTCGGCAAGTTTTCCCCTGGAATTTACATCTTAATAAGGGAAGTCTTACCCTTTAATTCTTATGGGCTCTGCTCATTTCTCATGCATTAATACTGGAGCTGCTGACTTGGCTCTTCCACTGAATACAGAATAGGACACACATATTAAGACTCATATATTTACAGGATTGATGCCACAGGAGATTGTCTCAGAGTGAGATGAAAAGGCTGGCTCAGATGTATTTCAACGTGAACATCAATGTAAGCTGTCCTAATCACGGGATGATGCAGGCACAATACAGAGAGCATCCATCCAGATTTTCAAATGATAATGAGTAGTGATGTTTATCAGATTTAGAGCATAAGCCTTGGTCAGAGATCATTCGACGATCAACTTACTTACTAAATCTTATGGAAAACACAACATAGATGAAACTTTGGTGCTTGACATCAGCAGCTCCCACTGACAAAGAACAACAAAGAGGACGTGTAAAACAAATATCAGCATGGAGAGTGAAAGAGAAAAAGGGAAAAAAAAGAACAGTAACAAAACAAAACAAGCAGATGTACAAGTATAGGCTGTGCGAAAAAAAGCAAAGGAGCAGAAGGACAAAGTGCTTGAAAGATCATGAGAGGCAGTGAGACTGTGGCCAGTGGTTTCCTCGGCAGCTGTCAGTGGGCTGAGTGGTTTCTCTCAGAGTGCTGGGTGTTTGTGCTGCGCTGGATGCCCTGCCTGTTCTGCCACTGGGACCGCTGTTTGTTTAAAAGGCTCGCCTGTCAAACAGAGAGCGCCACCGGCAGCCAGACACTCAGCTAAATGACTCTGACAGCAGCCCTAATCAGAGGCTTCGCACATTGCCGCAGGGCCTGGAGGATCCATCATAACCCAAGCCTAAATATTTAAAGTGCTAAACTTTCCAAAGGTCAGGTCTTTCCATGCATGCCAGGGTGACATGTGTGACAGAAGTTGGAAGAGAGGGACTGAACAAGAGGAAGAGAGAGACAGACAGTAGTCAAATGTTCTCACTCTTGTGAGAATCACTTTTAATTTTAGACCTGTGGAGTCAAGTTACTTTTAGTGAATGGACATCATTTTGACTGGCCATCACATCTTCAGCTGTTTCATTTGGGATGGAACCTGGGATTTGAGTTACAGTTGAATAGGACAAGATTTTTAGGTCAAATAAATCCTTCTTAGCAATTCACATCACAACGCAGGGCTGCAACTGACAGGAGTGTCTCTTGCTAAACAAGACACTCAGATTCACCCCAAAAAAAGAGGTGTACGATTATGTTCCAAAACTTTAGTGAGGAATAAAAAAAATAATTAAAAAAACTAGCTGTTTGCCCAGTGAAAGCTGGACTCACCAAAGATGGATGAACATTTTCACCCACAGGTACCTGCTCAGAATAATTTCAAGCAGCTGCTCCTTGAAGATGTCCAAATTCAAGGTTAGGTATGTAAAGGTAATGAGTAAAGGTGAAGTCAGTGGATGAATATAGCTGGTGGAAGAATATCCATGTGAAAATATGCACACATACAGCATGTCTGGGTCTGTGTCTTCTTCAGACCTAGCGTAGCCATGTTAAGTCCATAGTATCTCATTTCATGCTTTTGCACTTGGCCTTTAGTTTTGCAGTTCCACAGATGCCACTGCAGGTGCTGTACGCAGGTGTCTGGGGCACAGAGTGCATGGAAATAAATCACTACAGGAGAGAGATAGAACAGAGCAGTTCTAAGAGGTGACAGAAAGGGTTTGGGGTTTTTGTTCATGGCCTGCCTTTAGTTAAAACTGAAGCAGAGTAGCTATTCAGCAAGAAAAGTTTATACATATCTATAAAGGTGAGGAGAGGCACACACAGAGAAGCGTCATGAAAAAGGAAACATGTTTTTAGTTTGGAATGGATATTGTACATTATAATCTAGCTCAGCTGGGGAATCTGACAAGTTCACAATATAGAGCAGGGGGGTCATCTCTTTGACTCAATTTCCATTGAGAAGCAAACATCCAGTTCAATTTAGATATGTGCCTGTGCTAGGCCATGAGTCAGAGGGAGATTGTAACTGACAGCCATTGGACAGCCGGCTGGATTTGAATATTGACGAGACAGAGACTTGACAGAAGGGATTATGCTCTACCTTCTGACTTACTAGCTGCTACACTGATCCATTCTATTGTCAGATCAACTCAGTGTCAGGACTACAGTATGTCCATGTGGTGGGGTGATGCCAGTCAGTATTAGGCCCTACCTGAGATTCAGCTCAATCCAAACTGATGTCCACTCAAAATCTACAAGACACACACTAAATCAGCCAGGGAAAAAAAATGCAATATCAAAACAAATCAATTTCAAAGTAAACATGAGCTGGTTGCTTTAGTCTGCAGCTGCTGTGTTCAGTATAGACAAATACACACAATGTGTGTTTATTTGTTTGGAAGGATTAACAAAATGAACTTCCAACCTTAACCTTAAACTGCTCTAACTTGACTAACTCAGAACTGGCTTTCTGCAGCTACTTTCTTGTCTTTGATGACATTTTGACTTCATATATCAAAAACTACAATGACTGGTGTTTGAAGGAAGTTTCACTGTTATATGCTACAGCAAGTATGCCTTCAAATTTTTAAAATGTGTGGGTGCATGTGTTACAGATTCTACATTTGTGTGTGTGTGTGAGCATGTGGGTCAAAATCACAGTCCCACCCACGTCAGCCACCT